TATGTATGTATTTTTATACGGATGTTATTGATAAATTTATTTATCAAGGAACAATGAAAAACGTAGATAAATAAACGAGATAACTTACGATTGCCCCGTACATTAACGATGACAAAGGAGTTATTAATTTTGGAAATAGAGTGGACCTAAATAAATATAGCGATTGTATCGAAGCGTTCGTTCATCTCTTTACTATAAAACTGATGTCATCTCTATTGGGATAAGCATTGGAATGATCTATGCTTTCGTAACTAGCAATAAAGTTCTATGTAATCGTTGTTTATGAGAAGGCACTAGATTTATTGATCGTGATTATCATATCACGCAGTTTATTAGTCTTGATGGAAAGTTAAGCCACAAATTGTATTGTAAATACTAAATTAGTAGTAAAAAAACATAAAAAGGTATTCTATTTTTCGCTAAGGACACAAATATTTTTTTTTACATCCAGCCTCACCTTAATTTTAAATACTATTTGTTTTGATGCAGTTCATAAAAATAAGTATTAATGAAAAAGCTTTTTATGTGATTTGCTAAATATAAATTACCGAAGCCGTGTACTTTATGTCCGAGCACGTGTTTGAGTTGATATTTCTATTTTTAGCACAATTTATTAATGAGACTTTAATAAATCTCTAGGCTTCTTTCTTTTATGCTTGAAACACAACTTTATAATATTTCGTTAATTTTAATTAATTCATGTATACTTTGTATATAACAAAGAGGAAAGATTTCTATTTTTGGATGTTTGTATGTATTCTATTCACATAAAAACCACTGGGCTGATTTAAACAATTTTTTTACTATTAGAAAGGTAATTAAACTGTGTAATATAGGCTATATTTATTATTATTATTTTTAATGTCATGCGGGCAAAGTCGCGAGAAGCAGCTAGTAATACCCACATGTCACATAATTTTCTTTTTCTTTTTTACTTCCGTTACCTACATCGTTGAAGAATATTTTTATAATTAGCTAGAAGTTTAGTTCATTTTGTTTCTTTTATTAACAATTTGATTTATTAGTAGATAGTTTACTTATAACGTTTTAATATTTTTTCCAGATATTAGCGACCCTATGTTTTTGGTGTCAAAAATGTCCAACGTATAATGAACTTCAATCAAGTAGATTAAACAAATATTAGAGTAACCTTTGGACCAGGATATATTGGATTTGCCGAGAGCTTTAATGGCGCCCATACGATTGTTTGCTAATTAAATACCACTTTGTTAAACGATCAAAGTAAAACGAGGGTGAAACTATTGGTAAACAATTTCTTAAGTGGAATTACATAATGTGTAAATGTACATGGACAATTTGTGAATTTGTTTCAAAACTTGCTTTGCTAAGTTTCGTAGAGCCTAAATATATTACAAATATCAAGTATTTTACACAGCTCAGATAAGTTTGTCCTTGTACTTAGTTTTTTTCTTCGTTTTTGTTTTTTGTTTCTAGTTTTTAAATTCGGTCTGCTGTATTACAATGTCTAACAATAAAAAAAATCACTAATACCTTTTGGTTATTCTTTCGATATATTGTAACACGTTTTTTAAATGTTTTTTCATGATTCATTTTCTCTCCAACTTATTTCAATGCAGCCTTTTCAGACTACCTAAGGTAAATAAAACTAGTACCATTTATTTTCCTTAATTGATTAACAACCTAACAAACAATTTATATGTCAATCGCAGAAAATACGTATCTTGTAAAGTAAACGTTATTATACATTTACATACAAAGCTTACTTTGATATGTATTCCAAGAATACATCAAGAGATTTTCCTCTAGTTCAGGCTTAAACCGTACTCCATTCGGCGACAGATGGTACGTGGGAATACAAGAAAGGATTATTTTCATATAGGTTTACTTTGTTTATCAATATTGAGAAAAGTACGGTATCATTTGTTAGCACATCGTAAAACTCTGAGGATAATCGACGTAGCAATTGAGAGTCCATTGATCTGGCAAATTCATCTCGCTCGCGAGGATTTAGTAGCTATAACTATACTCTTTGTGTCTACGAATGAACGATAATGTTTATAAGTTGCTAGTTTCTCGTAGTATCATGTCAGACGATGAGTAATTTAATTGCCCATTAGACGATGTTCCACGAAATACGATTGTCATGCGGCAGTAATAATCAAACCAATCACTCACGAATTAATCTGGATGATTGAGCAATATACATATCTCCAAACGTTGATGCCTTAATTAAGTATTAAAAAATTTAATCCAGCAACCAAAACTAAAAACTGGAAAATTCAAATACCACAAAGAGATACAAGAGCAATTCATTTATTTAATGACTACATAAATCAAACAGTTAAAATTGTATTCAACTTCAAATTTTCAGTATCAAATTAATTAATTTTAGAAATATATTTACGATATTTCCAATTCGTAGCTCGTAAATAAAGCTACAAATATCAAGGCAATAACTTCTGACGAGTCAAATCTCTTGTTTTTGTTTGAATCGTGTGACGGAAGCAGCTATTCCGCCGGTTAAATTGGACCATTACTTCTCAATAAAGTAAGTATTGTCTCCCGTCTCGCTAGACTAAACAAACCTGATATTATGGTCGTATAAACTCCGGGATCAATTCTTCTGAGACAAAATTTATTTTACTTCGAAATTTCAACGATAAAATACTTAATTTAACTTTCCTGTACGCAAGGGAACTAAAACAAACGTACTGTGTTATATTCGCACAATTTTTAGATTCATTTAAACATTTAGTACATTTCTATTAGAAACTTTTCATAAAGAAAATATCTACGTTAAAACGCTAAGCGAAAATTTCTGTGAAATTTGCAGAGTATTGAAGGAACAGAGAAATATGTATATCTTACCATCCTAATATTATACGTCTATTTTAACTTAACTACTTTTTATGCTCAGATTTATAAACATAGCTCTAACCCTTCTACATTTTCGAGATTAATATACCACGCGTTAAAAGACGAATGGTGCACCGTGATAATACATGTAATAAAAAAAAACCTGGAAAATACCGGAAATTCTATATATTATCTTGCAATTGTACTATTGACCATACGATCGTACAAGATAACCTCGAGTCGAAGCGATTATTCCCAGAAATAACATTAACATTAATTCTAATGACTTTATTATTCCCATCCAATCTAGTTAATTGTTATTAAACAAATAAAAATAATTAGTATTGAAAAGATAACTGAAAAAGGTGTTTTCGAAATAGTTTTAAGTAGAGTGGAATAGGTCTCACCTCTTCCGATTTTATAACACGCCTTTAAATAATTGTCGTAATAGAACTTAACCACCCTTAACATTAAAATAATATAGTAAATATGATAAAACAATATGTCAATTATCCCTGATGCCACTCTAATACGTAGTTTAACATTTTACAGATTAACATTTTTAGAATCGTAATAATATCAACAATCCAGAAGTGGACCTATAAATTTTCTTCGTCTCACGCATGTGTCAAGCGCACCAATAATAACTATCGTAACCGTCGGATTATACTGTTGAAACACATGTACAAAATATTTTATCATCTCTCTTATTACCTTTGAAAAACAGAGATGAAATATGTTTTCTTACCGTAGAAACTCAGACACGAAATCCATTTTAAGGACGTTAGCTTACAGTATGTACTTGTAAAGTTGATTTCCAGGTTGGAATGTTAGTCAAAACTGATTTATTTAATTTTTTTATATAAAGCTTAGAATAGCCGTGAGAACCATAAAATGTCGGAAGACATCTAACGTTTTTGGAACTCATAATAATGAAAAAAAAAAGACTAACATTCCCCTTAACTGTTCAAACGAGCCTGAGAGTTAGTGTGGCGAGATAGTTCACGACCGCATTCGATTCACTGAACGCAAGTTGTCTAATATTTTCGGGCTACGAATAAAAAAAAGAAATGTTCATTTTGCTTCGGGCTACGAACGGACGGCTATTTCTTTGCCATGTCCGACAATAAAGCAGGCCACCGATGCACTAACGCAGAAAATAATAGACGTCTAGACCGAACTTCGTCCTAAAAAAAAGCGGGTGAGAGGGCGAACAATTGGCCGCAGAATTGGTCGTTTACATCTGGTGTTTCGGAGGTGGTGGGTTCCGAATATCATATATATTAATATGGTAAAGCCGCAAAACAATAATAATATGCACGATGTGAAATATACATACATATGTACCCGCCAACTAGAAGTTTATTTGATGTTAATCAAGTGATATCACTGCAGAAATTTTCGTATATCGTCGACTAACAAAGATAAAGGGTTACTAGAATCTTCTGTTTTCTAACGTTACGTATTTACATAAACATTTGCAAAGGTAGTTGGTTTGACCATCTAATACGGTTTTTTGAATTCGCTCCGGTGTTAAAGTATGGCTAATACAAATTGTCTTTTAACGGATTTCACAGTCGTAAGTTATCCAGATTTCTGGTTCAAGGCGTCCATCTATACTTAATATAATAAATCGTAAACACACACTACTTCGTGGCGTAGGATGTCAGCAATCACAGCATTTTTTCGAATAATTCTTACTTTAATAAAAAGCCATGTGGAAAGGGAATCATAAACTAAAGTTGCCAACATTAAAGAAGCAAGGTTATTATGGTAACGGTTATTTTGACATTTGCAATAGAGAATTTTAGAAACGTAAACAATAAAATTAAGTTTTTACAATTTCATGCGGTGCCGTAAGGAAACAGCTATAGTTCATAAAACAATAGTTTACTGTTGAAAGGTGAAAATGATTCTCTTGTCTACAATTTAGGTTAAACCAAAATGTTCTGATAAATAAACCTTTCGAAATATTTCACATAAATGTAACTGTAAATAACGTTTTTCCCGTATTCTAATTTCAGCGCATGATATAGAAGAGAATAAAAAGCGCTATTATTTTTCGCGTTCGCGGGTTTTTCTTTTGAAATGGTGGCCGTGCGGTTATAATGCGGGACCGTCACAGCTCCGCCTCCCGCGGCATAAACAGAAACAGTGCAGACTCGACCGGCAGCGTTACAACACGTTTCCGTCCTAAAACGAACAATCTCAGTCGCTTTAGTATATCTATTTTACGAAAGTGACAGATAAAAAAAGTGTCAATTAAAATCTTAGTAAAAAGGAAAAAAAGAATAAAATAGAACATGATTCAAATTCACAAGTAACTGGTAAGTTAACTTTGTTTTAATTTTCTTTATTTAATTTTAAAGTGCTTCTTATTCCTGGCCAGTACGTTTCATTAATATTTAAAAGGATTTTTTATAACTTATTTGAAATTGTAATGTAGTTTGTGTTGAAAAACAAGCCGTTCCTACGTGAAATTTTTTGGATGAATAAAACAAATTGTGTACATATCCGATGTTAAATTTTATTTTTCAGAATGTTACAAAATGTTATTGTGTGTAATCTAAATTTTGTAACAATTAAAATGTGATTTGTTTATAATTCAACCTTATTGTTTATTTATTCCTGTTTTTGATTCTTGAAAAACAATTGGCATAAGAATATTGAAAACTTAAAAAAGGAACTGGTCATAATTAGATTAATTATAACAGAATCATAAATATTTTTTTCTAGGTAGTCACTAATTAAATACGCGATGAAGTAGGAAGTACGGTTCGGCTCTTGACTCTTACAAAATGTTAACTTGCAATTTCTTTTGATCCATAATTAATTATTATTTAACTAACCGCACCTCTAATTATGTTTATATTGATATCTTAATTTAAAAACTAAACTATTTAGAAATGTATTGAGTGTTTTAAGAAAAGGAAACGGAAGCGGTAACTCTATCGCTAATATAAGGATGGTTAATGAGCTCTAAACCTAATTAACACAGTCGTTATTAGTATCGAAATCGGAAGTCAAATTACCAAGGAATTAACTCTGTTAAGATGTATAATTACACACATTTTTTTTAATAAAAATATAAAAATAAGAAACCGCTTTTAATATTTTTTTAACCCTTCAGAGTTGAGTGGAAATACATTTTTGGTAATTGCTTGAACGTTATCATTAATTACGGTCGACATCAGTAGCTATGAACTTTTTTAACTTTGACATGTGACACTGACATGTAAAAATCGTTGTGAAAAACAGCAAGAATGTTTTGGAACCATGAAAGTGTGAAATTAAATGAAAAAATTTTAACACATGATAGTAAGGCCACTTTTCCACTAGTCTTTTTAACGTCTTCATCAAAAGGCATCTTACGGCCGACTACTGAATAGTCATTTGAAAATCTAATACTTTAAAGGATAATTAAAACGGATTCTTGTCATGTTAATTCAATCTAATTTTCTTTTTTCCATAGCGTAGTTAAATTACTATAATTCATAAGTCAGAAGTAATATTTTATCGTTTTTGTTATTAAATCTGGATACCGTAACACGCTCCCATTTGCTTATCATTGACATACCAATATCATAGTAACCTACCAAATAAGCCTACCATATAAGTACCAGGATTATACGACGCGATACTATGATCGATGGCTATTACGAAAATAATATTTGCCGTTGAGATTTTTTCATGAAGTTTATTACATTCCATATATCAGTATATAGATATATATTTTAGCAATAAGATTGTATTTATAGAATATACAGGAAACGACAAACATAAAAGTAAACAGTGTTTAGTTTCCGATAGACATCCGCAACAAACGAGTTGCAAATGACTACTTTAAAAGGCATAAACTTTCTTGTTGAAATATTTTTGAAGTAAAAAAAAATGTGGTACCAACTAAATTGTTCTGTAAGAAGAAATTCTACGAGAAAATTTACCGTTACACTAATGTTCAGATAATGGAAAGATAGTATATTATAATGAGTAGTCTGTCGCAGTCCTTGCCCGGAGCCATGCCCGTTTAATTCAGTACTATTTGAAGTCAAAATAAAATGTAATTAGCTTTTGTATTTGACATTAATGTACAAAAGACCTTCATTAAAATTATATTAATTTATTTAATTATCTCGTTGTTTTATAAGAAGTAAATGTTTGTTATGTTAAGTAATATTGTATAGTAAATACTCGATACAGAGAAATAAATCACGCGGTTACAATCAATTTGATGTTAAGAGTTGCATCTAAATATGTCATTAGTAATTTAACTTTTTTCGAAGCAGGACCATTTTTATTTATTTTACTTTAAAGTGAAAAATTTACCAAGCTCAGGTTAACCCACTAATCATTCCCATTCATTGCGAAAATAGATTGATTGCGTTAGGTCGACGATCTGTAATTGTATTTGTTAGTAATATTTTCTTCGTATATCTTGGAGTGTCATGTTAAGAATATAATCGTGCAAGATTGTCTGTCGTGGGTGTCTCATTTTGCGTCAAAGATTAAATAAATGAAGAGGTTCAACGTTGATTAATACCTTTCTATTTGCTAACATTCTGATAACAGCAACTAATATTAACGTTGATTTATCACACAAAGGAGAATGTGCTATTCTGGGAAGCAGGTCATGGCAAAATTAACGATTCCAATAATATCTAAATTATTTTTTAAAATTCCATTTGTTTATTTACATCTATTAATTTGTCTAAATCTGTTCATTACAAAATCATCAATTAAAATTGACGTTTTATAATTTACCTATTATTTATTCAGTTACCTGGTTAATAATTAAGAAACAGGATAAGTACAAATTATGAGAAGGAACAAGTTTAATTTGCATATTTTTTACCGTTCTAAAATATATCAATCATAAACAACCTAGAATTATTTTGCGTATCTTTGAAACTCCATAGAGTAATTATAATATTTTAATCAATAATATGGTAATACGTTTTTTGTATTAGCCATGTGACTATTTTGCCTTGAAAAGGCAAGCCCATTAGTAAATCTTCTACGGCAAACATTATCCATTTGGTTTTAATAAAAAAAAATATTGTAGATAGGCACAAATACTTACATTTGCTTGGTAGATAATTATAGGTGTCTGTAGGCCCATGTAAGAATATCTTAATATCACGTGTGTTAATATGTATGAATATTTGATTAATTCATTTGTGAGCATTTAATTTAGGCCCGCGATCAAATTACCCAATAAGTAAAGTGGCTCGCCGCACAGCTTCGTGCTCGTTCAAATAATTATATACTTTTAATCATGGAAATGTAAATATTTGTAATGCAATCGCTACAATAAGTAGGAAGATAAAATATTATTCTTTTGTTTGCAAGGTAAGAGCGTGCGTAAACCTTTTGATAAACCATTGCACATATCTCGCTTTGATTTCTATTAGCTTACGTGAAGATGCGCACAGTACTTGATTTTTGGTTGTGCAACAGTTCAGTTGAATGCCTAACAATCGACAATCGCACAATAGTTGTGCGATATTTTAGTCAAAGGTTTGCGCCCGCACTGGTAATGGCACTTGAAATAAAACGTCTTTCATTTTACCCAAACTTAAAAGATGATTTGAAATTGTTTATATTGTTCTTGGGGGTAACAAAACAGGTGGTGCTTTAATACCGTTTTATTGGAAAACACGATAACGTTACGATATTGTATCCAAATGTATCGTTATTCCACACGGTTCGGTAGTCGATATAAAGTTTCCACATTGAATGTCACTAGCTAAGTGTTCTTATGAATATTTTAACGCTAGATCAAGTATTTCATTGTCAGGTTTTATTTTTCAACGTTTCTTTATGTTAAGTTAAACTTGTACAATTGTCACAACATCATCGTATCTCTTCTCCCATGAGGAACAGTATTAATGAATCTTTATTCACTATTGTATTGTAGAATCTTTCTAAGAAACTGCACTTTGTAGCTAAATAAAAAATCGTCTGTTTTGTATCTAAGTCTATCTCACACTTTAACTAAGCTGCTTCCATTAATTAGCTTTAGACGTTTCGACATAGGAAAAGTTTGCGCCGTCAGTCAACTATTATCGGACTTTGTATGTTTATTTTGTAAAGTAGACGAGCAGTTTGCTGTTAGATCATTGAGTTTGCTGAGGTCGATTGGAGAACATTTCGTAGTTTATGTAGTTGTTACTAAGTGCTAAAAGTACACTTAAAACGCATATATTTAGGTACAAAAAACATACTGTGTACAAATAACTGCTTATTTTTATTTGACAGTAACCGTTTATGTTCTTTAAATTGTATAATGAAAATATGGAGATCACCCAGAACATATAGACAGCTAAGCTTTTTTTGTTTTTATTATAAAAATGTCATGTTTATAGAAACTTTTTAATAAATACACCATCTAGTATTTTGTAAAAAAATGTTTGTTACTCCTTTTAATTCTAAACGGCTTGCTCTTCCGAAGTTAGAACAAAGGCCTGAGTAACAAAAAGCCGAAAGGGCGAAAAAGTTTATAAATTGAAAAACTTATAACTTTGAAGCTGATATCAAGTGCCAGGAGGTAAGATAAATTGTCTAAATTCTTATAAAACATAAGATACATATTGACAGTAAGTAATTGATAAACTTCGTCCTTGTGGATAAACGGGAAGTTATTTATTTTAGGTTATGTAAGCTACAGATTAATGTATTACATAATTTGAAGACATAGTCGTTGCTTTTATATGCAACAACAATTTCTTCTCACTTAAGAGAATGTGTAAGTGTGATTTCCCGAAATTGTTTTTTAGGGCCCGAAGACCTAGTGAGTTCTTAATAGGATTAATCGAGTTCGTTGTTAAAGTTGTCATTCATCTTTCGAGTGGTTGTTACAACCATAAACTTAGGTTTACCGACAGTATTATGTAAAGTATGAACGATATGAATAAACGTGTACATGTTTTATGAAAGTTGTTAGGAAAAATACCCATAACTCATCATCATCCTCCTTATCCTATTCCCGAAAGGTCGGTGCGACAGGTTTTTGTCCTCCACATAACTCTTTAATACGTCATCACAGTCATCACTCCCTTTTTGATCATGTCACCTTTCACACTATGTATTTCTATGTATAACTATTTCGGTAAATTTACTTCCACTTCAATAAGAATAAAAACAACTTGAGTAATTGTGTAGACCAACAGCAACCTTATAAAAATATTTGACTCGAAACAAAAAAAAAGGATTCAATTTTTCGCGAATACAATAAACGGGACCTTCTTCAAGCCATTAACTCTACGAAATCAGTTTAGTAGAGAATATGAACACAGAGACTGTCGGCATGTAATTGAACGTGAAATAAATTACATTTCTTTAATCTACTGTGAAGATAAACATTTTTGTGTTCGAGACATCTCATAATACATCAAGGTCTAATACATAACAATGACGGCCTTTATATACGTACAAACATAAAGCCGTTGCTCAAACAACTGTCATGTTAGTTTCGCATTATTGTTAGAAAAATCATTTAAATGATGTATTTCTGAGATAAATAGGGCGTTTTCAAAAGTAAAAAGAAATAGGTAAAAGATTTCACTTCTTTAATCATTATTGAATTAATTTAAATTTGTACGTTTCATATGAAATAAAATGACAAAATATAGGTACTATCACAATCTTCATATAGAAATAAGTATGAGTACAGTATGTACTAAGATATCTAATAATAACTGCAAGTAAAAATCATACAATTTGTAAATTATCCAACATCAAAGCTCAGTCGTCTGACTGTTCGCTACGATGAGATGGCTTCTGATTCCAAAAATAAAAATTTGAAATACAATCGATAAACAAAATTGCTTCACATTTCATTCACAAAACGAACATTTATGATCAGTGCAAAATATTTTACTACAAATTAAAAAACAAAACAGCATTATCAAGTTCAACTACACAATATCAATAATTGTATTGAAATAAAAATGCGGATATTATTTTGACATTTCGTGTATCCGAAAGGCCTTTAAGGTTATTGAATGCCAGACATACTGGACGACGGAGCGTGGGTTGACCTCCCACTAAATAAACCGATTCGAAAAAATTTCGAACATTGCGAAATGTAGGAAACGACTAACTTATGGTCAACCTTGGGAAAACCTATTCGCCTAAATCATGAGTTCTATGCATTTACAAAAGAAAATAACTATATGTTGGCCAAAATATACACGTATATACACTTTGACTTCTAAAAAGTAAATACCGCAGGGACCTTTGTACCTACTCTGTCGCAATATCGAAAAAAGGTTTCGCAGTTGACACTAATTCAAAATGTGAGGAGAATGTAGAGGTTGACATGTGAAATAGACCCGAGCAATTCTTTACACGGTTTAGTTATTTTGTATTCAATAACATTTTTCTTAGCTTCTGTATAGAGGTAATTTTCAATTTACAATTAAAAAAATGGTATTTAAAAAAAAAAGAAAAGTAAATAGCCTATGTGTTCTTTCAGACTATCATTTAAATCTGTACCAAATTTCATCGAGAGAGAGAAACATGCATCTATAAACGAAATAAATAAATTCCTGGCTCAAAGCTACCTCCTCACCAATCTTCAGCCATATCGGCAAAGCCGTTCTTGAGTTATTAATGGTGTAACTAACACGACTTACTTTTATATCTATAAGATTTTTAGGCAAGTGTTATTTTTTTAAAAATATGATCTCACAGTAATTCGTTTTAATGTTGCATTTGTGTCTTGCGAATAATTAAATTAAGTATTTAATAGTTTTGTTTTCATAAGATTTGTGCTTTTTGCGACTAATGGTCCTTTGTCACGTGCCTTATTTACTTACTTAATGAATTCAAAGCTGTTGAGATTTAATTATTCCGTGCCACCGACGGAGGACAAACTGTGACCGTGGCGGCCGCAGATAAGACTAGTTATTTGCAACTCATCAGGCAGCTGAGAAACTGATAATGGAGTATTGTTATTGCATACAATGCATGTTAATTTTAGAATTAAGGGCATTAACCGAGTAATATGGAGAAATTTTCGCGATGTTTTGGAATACTTTATCAGCCGATTTATGATATTTTGCAAGGTTACTGGCACATAATTTATTGAGTAGGATTACCAATTATCTTGATGACAACATCAACGTATTTTTATGACATACAAAGAGAATCAAACAAACATGAGGTGCATTTTCACTGTTTACTGGTCTCTGAGTAGTGTGTTTTTATAACAGCTTATGTTCACATTGTTTCTACTTTGTATAATAAATTATATTCTTAATAGTATTACAACGGATCCTATTTACGCCATAGCACCTGGTCCTTCATCAAGAAAGTTTTTTTTTCACAAAAAGATAATCCCTGTATTTTGAAAATTACTACAATCTCCTCTGTACTACAATCAACATTTATTACAGAATTACTCAAAACATTATTTTGTTGCAGGTAGCAGAAATAGAGGAAGCAATGATCACCATTAGAAACATGAATTCATTCACGTCCTGTCCATGACGAGATGTGAGATCTGGCGCGCGCCAATATGGCTAACGCGACCGACGCCTTTTGTGTGCCCGGCGCCACGGAATTCAATAAAGCTTACAGTCGGCTGCATGGATACATCGCTATTGTAATATGCATCATAGGATCCGCTACGAACTCTATCAACATCACCGTGCTGAGCCGCAGGGAAATGATAAGCTCAACGAACTCCATTCTGACGGGACTGGCGGTCGCAGATCTCCTCGTGATGCTCGAATATATACCATACGCCCTGCATATGAATATTAAAATTGGACCCGAAGTAAATAAGAACACGTACGCGTGGACCGTCTTCGTTTACTTCCATTCGATATTTAGTCAAACATTTCATACTATATCGATCTGGCTGGCTGTAACGCTTGCTGTATGGCGGTACATCGCTATCGCATTTCCTCAGAAGAACAGAACGTGGTGCAGCAAACAAAATACCACAATCGCCATCGTGAGCGCTTACGTGATTTGTCCCTTCCTTTGTCTTCCAATTTATTTTGCAATGAACATATCGCAGAACGAAGTGACTCCTCAGAATAACTCCCAGTTCGCAGAAGACTTATCATTGCCACATAATAGAACAGTGTACGTGTTAGAAATGTCAAAGAACAAGGAATTAGTTACCGCGATAATGTGGATATACAGTGTTATATTAAAACTAGTCCCAAGCATAGCTTTATCTATATTAAGTACGTGCTTAATCTCTAAGTTAACTACCACAGAGAGAAGAAGACAAAAGCTTCTTAAGAGATCGATAGTTGGACCAAATGATGTAAGTATTGCGTTTTTCATCTTAACTGTGAATCACAACACCTTTTCCTATTTTATAAAAAATAAATTAACGCAGATAAAATAAAAACCTATCACAGATTTTCTGTCAAGAAAATTGTTGACTATTCTCCTTATATTAGGTAGTTTCGAACGTGACCATTTCTTCACATTTCGGCTTCACTAATTTGAGCGAGATCAGCCATTCAATACTCCTTAGTCATCCTCTATCAATCTTACAATTTCAACCAACCCATTTTAGTTTTATCACAAAGCAATATTTGATGTCTTGTTAGTTTTTTGCTTACCTTCTTAGAGAACATTATTTGACCTTGACCTAAATTATTTCACGAAATGTAGTCTTAATCCCGATCTAGCTAAGCTCTTAATGATAACGCCAGACTGAACTGTACCAACTGTCGAAAAGAATCATCGGTACGCTCTGTTTGCCACAACGACCCACTGTCTATAGTATTTACGTAAGTGGAGTGTGTCTACTTTGTTACTGAATTTTATATAATTTCAATTTATTTTTTATTCTTCTTTGTCACTAAGTTCATTTTTATTAAGTACGAGTGTTGATATTGCAGGCTTATTACTAATTTTATATATTCCATTATTAAAATATTGTTAATATTATAAATATTGTTAATCCTAAGTTTATCCATTTTTACTCGTGTATGTTATTCGTGGATAATCTAGTCTTGTGGAGTTAAAATCATATTCCGGTAAACGCTGTTCTTTTTACCAGGTAATAATCTGTTTCTTGTATCAGCTAGTACACTATAATTGTTTTTAGAGTGAGAAGCAGTGCTTGGCAGAGGATCCTAATGCAGCGCGGCGTTCCAGTCGCACAGACCGTACGACACGCATGCTGTTAGCTGTGCTGGGGCTCTTCCTCTCAACAGAAGTTCCTCAGGGCCTCCTGGGCCTCGCCAGTGCCCTCGCACCGGACTTCTTCAAGAGCTGCTACAGCATGTTTGGTGAGTATTTATTTTAAAACGAATTTCAAAAGCAAAAAAGGTGATAATCATTTCTTATCTGTAATAAACTAAACATGAGGATTTTGTACGAAAAGATTATTAAGCGAATATTGTTTATTTGTTGTTTATGCTAATGATAATTTGAATATCTATTGTATTCAAAATTAAATGGGATATGTTTTGACATTTTAACAAACATAACCATTGAAATGTCAATTTTGAATACGTAAATTAAACATAATTTTGATCAAAACGTAATTTGTACATTTTAAAATGTCTTTCATAGATGTTGTTGGTTTTAGGTTAGTTTTCACATAACTGCGTTACTGCGATATTCACATACTGCGATAGACATATAAGATAGACAAAATTGTGTCACAAAGTGCAAAAAATGGATAAGCCTTGTGAATTAAAATGCACTCTCGGTACAAAATTTAAATAGTATTGCGCGAGAACATTTACCGACATGGACACGTTTTATTGCGATAGTTTCAACGTAAATGGTCCGGTAAATGCACTTAGAGAAGACGTTATAGTTGTTTCAATTTTATAACAGTGCATTAACACTGAATAGAATAACTATGATACACGATTCAGTAACTATGATATATTGCAGCAATTCTTACTTGTTTGGTTTCGAATTAACCAAGGTATATAGACATTGGACTGTTTTCAATAGTAAGGTTTCTTTTCATCGGATGTTATTCGTAAAAACTATAAGTACTTTTACATAAAAATACCAAAATATATCGCAGTATTTTCTTCATTTCATAAAAGCTTTGAGAAAAAGTTGCTTTCAGGATATTAAATCCTTTACAAAAGCTACCAACATCACAGAAATAAGAAAATATTGCTTAAATCACCTAAAAGTTTTTTATATTTCGAACAGAATCGTTGTTAACTACAGTACTTTTAAAGGAATAAATTGAAAAGTCCTAAAATTATAACGCTTACTACCAAACGTTACAAGGAAATTTAATAACGTACGAAACATTTTCAACTTAAATACCTTTTAGACTCCTCTTTGAATGAATGAAATTAAAATATGCCCTAGTTTTTTTTTAATGAAAGTGGTATGTTTTATTTAATTTAAGAATATTTTATGCGATGAAAATTGTATCAGTTTATCAGAATGGGATTCATGCTAACCTTGGTAGACAACCTTGTAGTGAGAGAGCAACTAATGTTGACTAACTCTTTAAATCCCTCGCCGTTTGCATTATTAATGACGTAGAAATGCGAGAGATATCAAGACAATGAAAACACATTATTTGTCTAGACGTCCGATATTATAAATGCAATATCTTAATCAAATACAGAACTGTAGTAGACAATGATATTCATTCTCAATAGTATAACATTTGGAAACTTATCTCGTGTATTTAACTACAAACGTATTATATTACGTATGATATTATACTTAAATCATAAATGCTAAAGTTTACATTAATGTATGAATGTTTCTTAACAAAGAATTCTAAACCGCTATTTAATTTTGATGAATTTTGCACCAGAAGTATTCCACAATAGTGCTCGTAGGCATTTTAATCTGATCTGTACTAATATTACAAAGAGGAAAGATTTGTATATTTGGTTTTTGTATGTATTTGATTCACGTAAAAACTACTGGGCCGATTTTAAAAATTCGTTCACCGTTAGAAAGGTAGTTTATCTGTGAGTAACATAAGCTATAATTTTTTATTATATTTTAATTTTACGCGGACGGAGTTGCAAACAACAGCTAGTGTTATACAAAGAAGATAATATCGGGTGATTATAAAGGGGATTATGAATATGAAAGTTGAAACCTATTCATTGGAAATTCAGAACATGCAAATCAACCATCAGTCGATTGTAATAGGAATTGTGGTTTAGTGCAATCTGCGAGTTAATTGAACAGCGGGAGAGCAGGCAACATCTGTTGTGCGAATTGACCAATTTAATCCTTGAAATGCCTAAACAGCAAAAACAAGCGAATAATAGAATTTCTGTGTTCTCTCTTCTATTCCTATCATCTCATTCTCTACTTAATAGTCAAGGTTGATAGAAAGCGGTTTAGAGAACAACTTTCTCGTTTTAAATAAAAACAATTGAAGGTTTCTTATACAGCAGATACACGAGTAGAGCGGGCTCAAAACTTTGATCAAAAAATCGCACACTGTCGCACACTGCGATTGTCGATTGTTTTGCAGCCCATGCAACTGAACAGTTGAGTATGTAATTACTCGATTTTTAGTTGTGCAACTGTTTAGATGTAGTGTAGTTTAATGTGTATTAGGAATCAAAGCGATTCTAAACAGTTGTGCGATAGTCTAGTTTCAGGTGAGCGCACGCTCTTATACTATTTGAATGTTGAACATGATAATGTGTTTTAAAACGTTAAGATAGAAGTATAATCCGTGGTTATTAAATGTTAATTATGAAACGCGTACGGGTGTAGGTTCATCCTATCGATTTAGACATTGATCCCACGCCTCATTAAAGACGCGAAAGAGCATGTAACAAACACCTCTATACAAAGCGCGTGAAATGAATCCGTGATATAAACATATGTGATCGTGACACCTAATTATTTTCTTCTATACATTTACGTTTGTAAGAAACAAATGTATCTTTATATGAATTCTGAATAGAAAAATGTTACAGGAAAAAACAAGTTGTTTTGCACTAGTATTTGAGATATGAGTAGGTTATTCGATGACCAGTTATTATTAACATTGATGAAAAGTGAATTAAATTTATAGCATGGAATTCACTCTCAATGATATTTTTAAATTTAGTTTTAAAACTGCTATTTTAAAAGTATATCAGTTATGACATGGGACAATTTAGCACAAACAATAATTTATATATTTTACTATTTCTTCTATTCTACTTATATTTCTTTAGATACATGATACAATAACAATTGAATTCTATAACAAAACGTATTATTTTTCTACGTAGCGTGTTCCAATAAAGAAATAACGAAACCCAGTTCATATTTTTATAACAAGACCCAATATGAATTTCAAAATAACTCAAGGCGTTTGTAGCAATAAGCAATAAATGGAGACCATTAGAGAAAATACATTTATGCGATTTATCACGACAATACCTATATGTAATAATATTAAATTGAATACATTACCAGCTAAATTACATCTTCTAAAAAACTTAATTTAGTAAACTTGAACAGTTTTGATTTATCGATCGGATGTACACAAAACTTCGGAATGATTGTATCATTTTGCTTCCTCAATTTAATTCACAGCCAGACAAATATTTCTAAATTCACAAAATACTTAAGACCCTTATACCTTACTATCTTTATTTACTAGTTGTATTATACCGTGACGCTAGCAAGGCCAGGCACAAATTTTGTCAAATCATGATTATTTAAGCCTACAAAATGCGACATTGACCAATAATTACTACTTATACCGAAAACAGTTAGCTGTTATTTGTAAGATACATATTATTGGTAAATATAACTACGTTGACTTCCATAATATCAATCAACGGCAGTCAAAGGGTAATAACAATTTACTACGCAGTTTCTAACTATATTTTTGGGGTAATACAGGATATCGTTAATATATATTTATTTCTAAGAAGCAGGCAAGTCGATGCTTTCGTTTATAATAAAGTGCAATTAATTAGTGCTCACAGACAGGTATACAGTGTTTTTGCCAACACCAAATATACAAAGTAATTTGTAATCATTAATATTCATAATCTTATAAATTAAACTGAATTTAGCTTACAGGAAATGGTCAATTAATCAAAGAAATGCTTAATCATCTTTCATTAGATTAAAAGCAAAAATGTTTAACAAGCGTTTAAGTAATTTTTGCGGTAAACGTTACTTTAGTAGATAAATTACGAGACTGAATTCTTAGTGAATTTTGTCGATTCTGCACTTATTTAGTCATTGTAGCTGGAAATACTAATTAAGGCCACGTTAAACTGTCCTAAATCATCTTATAAGAGACACAAATAGAAAACCCTTTGACAGGAAAAGATTAGGTTCAAATTTCGATAACACAAATGTAATTTCCGCAGTGGTTTAAATGTATTATTTCTATCAGGTGATCTAATGGATGTACTGGCATTGTTCACGTCGTCAGTGAACTTTGTGTTGTACTGCAGCATGAGCCGCCAGTTCCGATGCACGTTCGCTCGTCTAGCGCGCCGCATGCTCTCCGCACCGGAGGAACAACCCAAATCATCACACAAGCACGAGCCAACCACACAGGTAAATCAAAATACAATACCGCTATCATTGTAAAATACAACAAACATTTTTTATCAACAATTTATCTAAATTCCTATTTACAAAGTTATGTTACTATCGGTTTCTTTGGCAGTTAATTGTAGAAGTTTTTTTTTATTTGTATAATGTTTGTTGTGTCAAAGTGAAAGTGAAATATTTTTATTCCCTAGGTCACAGGGCCACTTTAGCGACAGATGCCCGCCCTTATTAGGGTGGTGGAGGAGAGCGTTATTTAGTGTCAAGGTAATTTGTTATTGTATTAACGGAAAAAACAACTTTTAGTAGCGATAAATGTTCATTAGAATTTTTGGTAAAAACACTACGTTATGTGTACTAGGAAGATGAAGAGATATTAAATTAGTTAATTACTTTGGTTTTAACATCATAGGGTTTGTTTACAATATTTCACAACACGTTTTCAGTTTCAAATATGCACAAGAAAAATTATTTTACAAGTATTAGCAATAATACTCGTATGACCAAAGCTGTGTTATCTGTATAAGTGGCCATTTCAACCACTACAATTTGAAAAAAGGTTGTAAAAATAGTGTTCTTAAGAGCTAACACAATTCATTTTAAATTTCTTTTTCAGATTTACAATCAACGAAGACAAGAAATGTTTGTTAAAATTATTAGTTAATTATAAAATTGTACATACTATACCTTGACACTATGAAATATTAATCTTATTAGTCTATTTTAGCTCTTACGGTTTCTAAATCTAAAAATATTAAGAATCTATATTAACATTTGTACATATTACTTTTGTGCTTATAATTATGTTGTAAATATTGTACATAGTTTAATTATACGGAAATTAGGTAAACCATGTATTAGTAACCTTTAAATATAAGTAAATACTGAGACAACTGCTAGTTTTCGCGTCTAATGAGCCGAGACGCAAAACCTAGACGTTGTTTATCATATTATATACTTATAAATCTATCTCTAAGTTATTTTTAGGGTCCAAAAGTTATTAAATGATAACTAGGGAACTTTATAAATAATTAAAATTAAATTTTATCCTTATGTAATGTTAAATATTATTGTAATCATTAAAATTTTCTACTATTATTGTTTATTTTGTGTAAAATTGTCATTCATTGACTGAGAATATCAACGATGAGATAAATGTTTGCTTGTTTTATTTCTATTCCATTTTTAAAAAGTTCTTTTTTCTCATGGCCTTATGAAGGCTTTAATTGTCGTATAATCTCAGTGGAAGTGTCAAAGAATTAAGTATGTACCATAAGATTAAAGTGTTATACTGTGCAGTGTTTATCTCTGTAGTACACTAAAATAACTAATTGGTTGTTGCTAACAAGTTTAATTTAAACGCAGTAACATGACAGTAAAGTTAAATTATGTTGAGGTTAAATGCAAACAAAACTACTTCAACCATCGATTTCGTAGTTTATAGTAATGGCTTTTTCCATCTTATTTATTTATATTATGTTCCGTCCGCTTGCAAATTTATGGAGCGGATTGTTATTCACATTGTACTTTGAAAATAAAACTTTTCAGTGGCCTGAGGCCGCGAATATTCGCTAATATCATTTTTCATACACGTGTTATCTGTGAGATAAAGCCTTGAACACAGTCTGAATCTTCGAGTAAATATTTCCTACATTCCGTTTAAATTCGTACGCTCGTCCAAAAAAATAAAAAAACAGAACCAACGTGATGTTATTTTAGATGACTATTTCGAGAGTATATATTTTAAGAACCGAAATACTATTCGTAAATGTTTTGAATTTTTCATACATCACTTGGAGTGAAAAATCAGTATAAACACACGAATTGATGAAAAAAAATTAAAAGCTATAAATTAAATACATTCCGATACAGTTGTTTTTAGCAAATAAAAACGTAAGTAACCTACGAACTTTTTCTTTTAACTGGATGTAAACACATTAAATCTATACTACGTATTGATTTTTCTGTAAAATGTTTTTTTTTAGTAAAGTGTGTCATACTACGATAGTGATATCTAGTTGGGAAAACTGCGGGCTATGTATTTAGCAATTCAGGGATAAATAAGTATGTGCAAATACAAATACAATGTGTTACTGTGTAACTAATATTGCTGCAGTAAGATTATCAATTGATTGTTTATGACAATAAAATTAACGTGAATTTAGAAATTTTACTTGAAACCTACAAAATGTGGTTAAATTAACGATTAGCTCTAATAACCATACTAATTATACTAATATTATAAATGCGACAATTTGAATGGATGGATGGATGTTTGGTAGAATTTGTAGCCTACACGGCTGAACGGATTTCAATGAAATTTGGAAAGGATGTAGAGGATAGTCTGGAAGAACACATAGGCTACTCACTATTGTTTTTCTTAACTCCACGCCGACAGAGTCGCGGGCGAAAGCTTGTTTGGTTAATAGTTTTATTATTTTCATGCCAGAACTTGAATCCTGTAGGTAGTTTTGAATATTGAGCAACAAGGTAAATAATTTGAAATAGTACATGCTGTACTTGTTTAAAATATTCTAAAGATTTTTAAAAGAAATATTTCGAAGTAGGAATCAAACATTCCGTGAACAGTACTTGAAAAGGTCTCAAGCCCGAAACCTCTCCAGTGTCATCGTTGCTGTGAATTCACAATGTGGCTGCCATCGAGTGGAGGGTAGTACGACATAATTATAATGATACACATAACTTTCTCTAAGGAAATTTTGACCCGTCTTGAAAGAAAACGAAAATTTCAATTTTGCAATCCAGAATTTTTAAATACGTTTATTCAAAATAGTGTTGTTTAAATAAAAGAAATCATAAAGGTCGGAAAATCTCAAAAGAAAACTAAAAATTTAACAGCTTCTGATATAACCTTCTGATACATTTAAGATAAATCGCCTACTTTTAAAATCAATACGGCATCCTTTTAAGGAAGAATTTAAAGACATTTATTTTTATACATAAGTCATAGGTCTGCCACATGAAAAACTTAAGTTTTTTTATAAATTTAACTTATGGTAAGGTTACGTTCTTATTGCAAACACTATATTCAACCTGTTAACGATAAGAAAAATACTTTTTTTTGACGTTAACGTTATACACAGCTGACCGAAAAGAGTCAATCATACTATCTTGAGATCTTTTACGTGTGTAATATCATTTAAATCGAGAGTACCCGTTTATCTATGATAATAGATAGTGTATGCCCAGATAGAGCTGCTACCACTTTACCTCGGGATCGGCAGATACGTACGAATTATTTTATCTTTACACATGACACATGATAAAAATGGTATTACCACACTAACGTTGGTATCTAAAACTGGTTTACATTAACTATAACCGTCAATTTATTAGAGAACCCTCGCCATATTGCGAATAAAAATGTGATGTAGTATAGAAGGTGACCAAAACGACCCCCAGGACAGGTTTCAAGATTTTTGGTTAATCTATAAACATATTTATTTAGTTCATATGTGAAGTAACGTGTAATTTTGACTAAAAAAAATATTCATATCGTGTAATAAGAATCATCATTTCTTATTTCGTAACTGAATTCAGACCACCCAAATGAATTCAATTGATCTTCACAAACGAAACACAAATATTATGATGACAATTTAATGCTTAATACATTATAGCACTATTTTGTGTTGGTAAAACTCTCAACACTGGACCGGGCATTTCGCCAAACCTATAAAAATGTATTATTTCTGTAGAAAATATATTGTTCACGGCCCTCATATAAGAATATTTCATACTCAATTGCAAACAACAGGTGTATTATAACTAACTACACGATATAAGGATTACACCTAATCGTTCCTCTTGTGTTCCTTATTTCTATTAGTTATAATCCATTCAGCAATGTTTTTTTTAAAAATCAATGTAGTACAATAACAAAGTCACGTAACTTGCAATCGATGAATCAACGGGAAATCATCACCAATCAACATTATTATATCAAAATAGATATATACTACCTCCTGAATATCGTTACAGCTATTTACTTCACGCATTCAATATACGGTCAGTTTTGTTTCAACCCATATATGCTTTTGTTCAGGTCCTGTATAGAAATCATGTGTCAATGCGAATTGTGCATTCAATATTAATATCAGTTCGCTATAATGTATTTCAATTAAATGCTTGACTTACTTTAAAGCTATGTGTGAAACTCCAATATTAATCTTTGTATTAAGAAGGTAGCAAACGAGCAAGCGCCGAACTGATTATTCTATAAATTGGAAAATAAAATTGATTCATCATAAATTATATTGTCCAATTTATTTTAAAAAATTGAAAAGCTAACTTTTTTTGATGTATTCATTATTATTTTGCGTCTGTACTTGTACCGTACTGGGAATAATGTCGAATGAAAAATTAAAGCAATTTACTAATGAAATAGGTGCGGTGGCGCGCCGCGGCCCTATACCATATTGTATTTATGCTTATTATAACTACTTATTGTGAATATTGAATTTACATGTCTCAATCGAATACATTATAGCATTAACTTAATGCATCGTACATTTGCATATTTGAAGTGATGTTATTATTTTCGTGAGATTGGTCGATATGTGTTTTGATAAATAGTAGTTATGGTAAAAAAGAACCTTCTTATTGCCTTTTTTATAAAATAAGTCGGTCTTTTTACGGTCTGTCCTTGTCATAGCCATTGAAAATAGTCACCAATAACATTGATAGTATTCTTACATAATATACACTCTTCGATAATCTTTGACATTCAAGCGACTCTAATTTTACCTGATTTTCATTTAGATATCGTGTTAATTGTTTCATAGATAAAGCTGCTCGCTGTTTGTGATAATGCTCTCTAAAAAAATCAATTTTATGAGATAATGCATGGATTTTTTTTCAATATTAATATCGGTGAGCGCATAACAACGGTTACACTCACTCGACTATAACTGTTAACTGTCAATGTTGGTTTAGATTTTACTGAAACACAAATATCAATTACTTCATATTGCAGTTTCCCTTTCTTCGTTAAAACATGGCGTTATTCAGTATTATGCTAGCGTATTAAAATCCTAAATATCTGGTAAATTGTAATATATTGTTTACACGATACAAAAGATTCATTGAAAGTTTTTAACGTATATGATGAGTTACTTAGATCATAATTAACTAAAAGTCTTGCTTTAATTAGTTGGTAATATTCTCGTCTATCCTCGTATTGTATCACAATGTATTCGTATTTTCTATTATGTAAGAGAAATTGAGACTTTGTGAAGTTGGAGCTTTTATCTCTCGAAATGAAGGAAAACATTGTCCAATTAGTCAACGAGTCTGAGGTAAAACATCGCAAAAGCTCAAAGTGTTGCTCAAATTACTTAAACTGTAACGACTCTATATTATCCTTAACAAAGTAAACCCTTAAAAGCCTCGAGCACTTTCAGTTGTTTAGGTTAACACTTGAACGGCTCCATACCAAAGATGTTCGAAACTTTACTAACCCTTTGAACATAAAAAAATATTTAAAATAAAACAGTGTTGATTAATTTATATTTTTTATTAATACTTCGAAAAACTGAATTTTAAATTTTACCGGACAGTTTCAAATAAATTAGCTGATCCACAAAAGTAATATCAAAATTAAATATTCAGTAAAGTCTAATCAAAGCTTAACATATGTTGCATAATCAATTCCCTTTGTAAAAGCGTAGATTAAGGAAACTGAATCTTATATAAAGGAGATGCTCTTAAGCCTCTTAATACCCATTCTAAAGTGTCAACAAATTCGCTGAAGTGAATGCTAGAACATACTTATTTGTGACAGGTTAATTATGTCATTTATAAATTCATGGATAGAATGTTCTTAATTCCAATTATTAGCAAATGTACTTGGCATTAAAAATATAGGCATGCAATAGTAAAATAACATGGTAGGTACATGTTACAGGACATACTTCCACTGGTAAAATCATTTATTAGTCAATAATCACTTTAGTGTAGTAATTTACCATTAAGACTCAGAATATGACAGTTAAATAACTCATCAGCAAGCAATTTTATAAAGCAAACAAATGTTGAACGGCAGACATTGTTTATTTCAATAAAAATAATGATGTATTTACAAGTTCAAAGATCTTTAGTTTATTTTAAGAGGAGTGGTGTAACTAACCTCACTTTTA